CCCAGGTCTGCTGGGAGATAAGATCCAGCCAGAACCAGAGGAGTGGAGGGTCAGGAGCAGAACAAGCTCCCCTGACCGAGATGTCCCTTACAGTCAGCAACCATAAACAAGTCCCAGGTCCCCACCCTAAGCCAGGGCCTGGGGGCCCCGAAGCATAGGACACAGTCGCTGTGCTCAGGGAACTCAAGTTAGGGAAAGAATCGGACAGCCTGCAAGCAGAAGTCGCAATATTATTTCATCAATGCCATCACTTTTGTGATGGGACACTCCTGTGGTGAGCTGGTTGGTGGAAGGTGAGGATTGTGGTTTTAAATCCCTTATGGGCGGTTAGCTTTCGCACAAAGGGAAAAAGCGTCCTCACCATAGACAGACTCCTAACTGCGGCCACAGGCTGTCTGAGCCACAGAACGAACCCAAATGACAGTCACAAAGAGACCCCTCAGGCCAGGCACACCACACACACTCACCCCCAATCCCAACCACAGAAGGAACCCCACCCAGTGTGAGTTCCCAGGACAATCCCTTGCCTCTTCCTCTGTTCCCAGCTCTGACCTTGCTTGGGGTCTGGGCAGTAAAGTCACAGGCTGGGAAATTCCTGAGCTGAGCTCAGAGAGGAGAAGGACAGAACACAGGGGAGGAGGAGGGAGGGACATCTCCTGACTGCAGCTGCTGAGTTTTCCCTGAGGCTGCTCTGCTCCGGGCCTGCCTGAGGCCCCTCCCGACAGCCTGTCATGGGAGAGCCCAGCGGGAGCAGGCACCCGGTGGATGCCCGTAAATCATTTTTTGAAAGAATGTGTTAAAAATAATCCCTGCTGTGGTCCAGATTCCTGAGCACCCCTGCCTCACTCCCTCCGCTCCACATTTCCTCGCACTCCAGGCTCCCCACCTCACAAGTACCGTCTACACCCTCTGACTCTCACCATCTCCATCCATTCCTCAACACACGGCCGTCTGCTGTTCACCCAACCCCTCCCAGCGCTGGTCTGAGTTACATCCCCAGCAACTGCCAGGCCACGGGGCCCAGTGGCCACGGCGCACTCTGCACCACACTTGGCCTCTCAGCAGCAGCTGACACCGCTGCCAGTCCCCCCGCCACGAAATGCTCCTCCCTCCACGTCTTGGCCCAGCCTCCTCTGCAGAGACCCCAGCACCAGCCTCTACCTGGGGGGTTCCCTCGAGGTGCTGCCCCAGGAACCTCTCTTCTCGCGCCATCCTCTCCCTGGAGAGCTCCCTCATCCCAAAGCTTCCACTCCCTTCTCTAGGAGAAGGGCTCCCAGAATTTTACCTCCAGCCCAGAATGTTCTTCTGAGCTTCAGGCATATCCAACTGAGAGGTGACCCCTCGACAAGGGGCGGTGGCTCGCACCTGTAATCCCAGCACTTCGGGAGGTCACGGTGGGAGGATGGCTTGAACCCAGGAATCTGAGACCAGCCTGGGCAACACAGCAAGACCTCATCTCTACAGAAAATGTTTAAATTAGCTGGGCTCGGTGGCACGTGCCTATATTCCCAGCTATTCAGGAGGCTAAGATGGGAGGATCCCTTGAGCCCAGGAGCGGGAGGTTGCAGTGACCTAGGAATGAACCACTATCCTCCAGGCTGAGTGACAGAGCACGACCCTGTCCCTAAAAAAATTGTTTTTAATCTAAAAGAAGAAGAATTGAATCCTAACCCTCCCTCCTGCAACAACGTTTATCTCAGAGAATGGTTGTCCCACGTCCCTAGTGTTTACAAACCTGGGAGCCATTCTCGCCGCCTCCTTCTCCCCAAATCTCCTATCTCATCAATTTACCACCTGCAAAATCTGAGCTCCAACCACTTCCCAACCACCCCCCAGCCCCTCCAAGCCAGCCTTCCGTCCTCTCCCCTAGATCCTGCAATGGCCTCGGCTCATCCCCTCTCCACTCTGTTCCCTGCCACGCATTCGCCATATGACGCTGGGTGATTTTCCAAAAGTCTCATCTCAATCCTCTGGGTAATATCATCAATGACTCCAGTGCTCTTAACTAGGAATAAACTCTAAAATCTTCAGCAAAATGTCCAAGCATCTGCTTGATCTGGTCCCTGCCTACATGCCCAGCCTCTCCAACGCTAACTCTGGCTTCACCAGCCAGTCTGATCTGCTTCCAGTTCCTCTTGGTGCTGCCTTCTCTCTCTTGGTGCCGCCTTCTCTCTCTCTCGAATGCCTGAGGGCATGTGCAGAGGTCCACAGCAGTGCTTCTCAAGCTGCTGTGTGTATACAAATCACTGTGAAATGATGGTAAAACGCTGACTCTGGGCCAGGCGTGGTGGCTCACGCCTGTAATCCCAGCACTTTGGAAGGCCGAGGGAGGCGGATCACAAGGTCAAGAGATCGAGACCATCCTGGCCAACAGGGTGAAACCCCGTCTCTACTAAAAATACAAAAATTAGCCAGGCGTGGTGGTGTGTGCCTGTAGTCCCAGCTACTCGGGAGGCTGAGGCAGGAGAATCGCTTGAACCCAGGAGCCAGAGGTTGCAGTGAGCCGAGATCACGCCACTGCACTCTGGCCCAGTGACAGAGCAAGTCTCCATCTCAAAAAATAAAAATAAAAAAATAAAAAGCTGACTCTGATTCGGTGGTCTGGGGTGGAACCTGAGATTCTGCATTTCCAGGGGGCTCGTAAATAATGCAGGTGTTGCTGGTCCCTTGGCCTCACTTTGAATAGCAAGAATCTAGGACACTCTCCTCCACTCGGACTCCACCTTAGCCTAACTAGCACGTATCCAATTTTCAGGGCTCAGCCTAAACATCATTTCCTCACAAAAAGCCCTACCTGAGCCTCTCCGAGACTAGGTTACAGTCCCCCCACCTCCTAACCTTACGTTCCCCCTGAGCTATGCTGTGCTTCTCCTTCAGAATATTCACCATGTTTAACTGTCCAGCCCTCATTCCTGACATTATTTTTCCATTTTTGGCTCCCTAGCTAGACTACAAGGTCTAGGAGAGCAGGGACCACAATGTCTGGTTTACTACAAGGTCCCCAGAACCCAGCACTGGGCCTGGCTGAGCATGAGCACCTGTGGCAGAAAGCTGTGGGTCTTGCCTGCCCCACATCCCTTTCCCCTTCTTCTTTTGACAACACTGCCATTTTCCTCTAGGACCCACCCCTGCAATTCTCAGTTCTTATGGTTTAGGCGGGTGGTCATGAGACCCAGGTCTGGCCAATCAGAGCCTTTCATCTCTCTGGTCACAGTGATTGGTTCAGGGACAAACACGTGACCTAAGCCAGCCAATGAGCTTCTTCCCTGGGACTTTGTTAGAACTACTGGGGGAAAAAAAAATACTTTTCATTGCACTGGACTTACTTCGCAGGTAGGCGCTGCTGTCACCATCTGGCCGCCACAAAGGCAGCCTGACAGAGAATGAAACCAACACAGAAGAGAGAAGGAATGAGAATGATCTCGTGGATGCAGTCATGCCTGCCATCTATGCTTGCAATTGCAAAGGCAAAAAATTCCCTTTTATGCCTAAGCCAGAGTGAGTTATGTTTCTGTCACTTACAACCAAGAGTCCTAACTAATACAAAATTCAAATAAATACTGGGTATTAAATGAATTAAATTAGTGCATGAGTAAGTGAAGTCGGCCAAGAGAATTCAGGGACTCCCCCTACGAGACTGTCAGAGTTCTCCCTGCAAACTCTTGCCATCCTTGAGGACAGAGACAAGCATCCCACAGCCACCTTTGTAGACCAAGGGGACACTTGGTATGGTAACAGGCTTCTTAGCATTACCCTGTGCAAAGGGCCAGGCTGGCACCTGGCTCAGATACCAACACTGAGCTGGGTGCTGGGGCAGGCACTAGGCTGGTGAAGGTGGTCTAGCTTCCACTGCCCCCTGGGTACTGTATCCTGTCCTGCCCCCCACCCACCGCTGACCACTTAACCCCCCCAGGGCAGGCTCTGGCTGCCCCTCAACACGTAGGCTGCTCGAGGCATACCGCGTGGCTCTGTGTGTGATGGGCATCAGATGCAGAACAACAACAGGAAGATGGATGGGTTTTATCTGCTTCCTATGGGTTGTCATCTTGCAAGAGATTAGGTTTAGGGAAGAGGAGGGGTGATGCAGAGCAGTGAGGAGGGGATGCCTGATGATCCCCTGTGAGCCACTCAGAGCACAGCCCCCGGATAGAGAGAGGAGCTGGCCTAGATGTCCCCTCAGATGACTCAAGGGGCAGGTGACTTCTTCAGCGCTAGTCCTCACTCACCCCACAGAGTGCGAGGGAGGGAGGGAGGCAGGGAGGGAGAGCATGCCTGACAGCCTATACAGAAACACTGGCTGAGCCAAAAGTCTTCTCTGAGGACCAGCTCAGGCCTGTGTGGCCATCCCACCAAGGCGTCAAACTGAAAAGAGATGGGGGAAGGTCATGGTGGCTGGAGGGCACTGCACCCTCGGCTCCCATCCAGGAGTGAGAAGGTCCTGGGCCTGGCGGCCTGGACTGTGGTCTCCCCAGGAAAACGGCTCACGAAGGAAGTGCTGATAGGAAAATAACTGCTGCCCCAACCCGAACCTCCAGCCAACCCTTCCACGGGTTCTGGCGTGAACAGGCCCAGCTCAGAAGGGCCAGCCAGAGGCCGGCAGACCAGCATGCAGGCACCCTTCAAGTCCCAGGAGGGTGCCGACCACAGCCCAGCCCCGGGCAGTCCTTCGGGGCAGCTGCCTTCTGTCCCCCGACTTCCTCCTGGCTGGGCCCCTTGTTCCCAAACTCCACTACCAACTACCAAAAGTCCCGCCAACCCCATTTCAACCCCAGTCAATGTCCTCACCGCCCCCTGACACAGACACCCTGAGTCTCCTGTCACACTTCCCCCTCACTGGTGCTTCACTGGAGCTTAACTGGACGTCGCCTCCTCCGAGGGGTCGGGACACTCCACAGCCCCACTGCGACGGACGCTGCTGGGCCTGGAGCCGAAGCCACAGCAAGGCCTCACGACTTCCCCACACGCTCCCCTCCCTGCCTCCCTGAATCAAAGCCTCTTACCTTCATGGTGGGAGGAGCCGTGAGAGGAGGGGAGAGCGGCCGGTCTGGAAGGGTCACATCCGAGCTGTTGGCCAGCTCCTGCTTCCTGTGAAGAGGCCAAAAGAGGTGAGTGAGGACCTGCCTGTGCCTTCCCTTCCCTCCTCCAAGACTGACTAGGCTCTGGGACACAGTTTAACATACAATGCAGGCTGGGCTGGGTGGCTCATGCCTGTAATCCCAGCACTTGGGGAGGCCGAGGCAGGTAGATCACCTGAGGTCAGGAGTTTGAGACCAGCCTGACCAACATGGAGAAACCCCGTGTCTACTAAAAATACAAAAATTACCTGGGCGTGGTGGTGCACGCCTGTAGTCCCAGCTACTTGGGAGGCTGAGGCAGGTGAATCACTTGAACCTAGGAGGCGGAGGGTGCAGTGAGTCGAGATTGCGCCACTGCACTCCAGTCTGGACAACAAGAATGAAACTCCGTTTCCAAAAAAAAAAAGCAGAAACCAGAGTTGGGAGCATTTTCTTTTCTATTTTTTTAGATGGAGTCTCGCTGTGTCGCCCAGGCTGGAGTGCAGTGGCCGGATCTCAGCTCACTGCAAGCTCCGCCTCCCGGGTTTACGCCATTCTCCTGCCTCAGCCTCCCGAGTAGCTGGGACTACAAGTGCCCGTCACCACGCCAGGCTAATTTTTCGTATTTTTAGTAGAGATGGGGTTTCACCGTGTTAGCCACGATGGTCTCGATCTCGTGACCTCGTGATCCGCCCGCCTCGGCCTCCCAAAGTGCTGGGATAACAGGCGTGAGCCACCGCGCCCAGCCAGGAGCATTTTCTTTACTCCCAGGCACCAAAATCTAAAGTAGTGCTACTCTAAGTATGGTCCCTAGACCACCAGCGGCACCTGGGAACTTAAAAGATATGCACATTCTCTGGTGCACACCAGACTCTCCAGTGATGAGCCCGGGAACCTACGCTCCAACGAGTTCTCCAGGTGATTCTGCTGCATGGTGAAGTCTGAGAACCACGGGGCTAAAGAGACCCAGGCGTGGGGCTGGGTGGGAGAAGAGGGCGGGAGAAACAGTGATTCATTCTCTCTTGAGCCCCTCTACACACACACACACACACACACACACACACACGCACACACAGGCCCTGGTCAAAAAGCTGTCCTCGGGAGACAGGGCTGCCTGCCGTGCAACTGCAGGTAAAACTTAATTTAGTCCGTGTGGGCTAGGACGGTGGACAGGCAGCTAAACAGAGTTGTGTCACCATGGCAACATGACTGCGACGAGTTTGCCGCGCTCACACACTCCCCACTTTCCATCTGGCCCTCGCTGGTGACCGGGGAGTGCTGTCTGCGGCCCCATCAGCAGGCACGCTGTTTGGCATGGGATCAGCCTTCGGACCACGGCTGCACAACAGGGCCAGCTGGGCAGAGCCTGGGGAATCCCCGGGTGAGGGACTCCAGTGTCCTGAACAAGCCCTGGTTGTACCCAGGAGGGGACGAAGGGGCTGGGAGAACCCTATTAAAAGCCGAAGAGGGCCGGGCTGAGCCGTCAAAGCCCCCAACTTTACAAGTGTTTCCTCCTCTAGAGAGCCCCGCTCTGAAGCAGCCGAGAGTCAGCCCAACCCCCAGGTCCTGCGTAAATGACCAAAGCACCCCCACTGCCACCTCCGGAGAATCCTTCTGCGCCTCTTCTCAGCCCAAGTCCTGCCCGCGAAGCGACAGTTCCAACCCCGCACCTTCATGACGGAAACCCACCCTCCCTACGAGCCCAGCCCTCCGGCTTTCCAGGCCCAGACCCCATCCTGCCTGGCTCCCCGTGGCCCACGGGGCAGGACCAGGCTGAGAACACTTCCACGCTAGGTCCACAGGGCCGTGTGTACCCCTGCCTGCCCCTGCGGTTGACGACCCCTCCCTGTGGTCAACGAGGGAGCCAGATGAAGGGCCTGGGGACTACCTGGCTTGGCGGAGGATCCCTTCCACCCCATTAACCTGAACCTGGCAATCCCTGTCTTCTGCTCCCCATCTCCCTTCCTCTTTCTTTCTTCCTGGACCTTGTTGATATAAGCTTTGACAGCTGGAGAGGAGAGACCCTCCCGCCTGATCCAGGGCTGTCACTGGCTCAAGAAACCATCAGGGCCAAGACAGCACCTAGGTGTGTGCACACACTCACACGCACACAGAGGCAGGAACCAGCTCCCGTTACCTCTCAGCTAGAGCTGCCAGCCTCCCTCCATGTACGGCCTTGGACGTTACCACCGTAGGCTCCAGCCTGGCTGCTCTGCCGGACACTCACCTGCCCGTGCACACAACAGAGCTGGGTCCAGCACAAGCTCACCCCCTCCTCCACCTAGCCCGCTCCCAAACAGCCACAGCTCCTCCTCAATGGGCCTGGTCTTTGAGAGCCATGATGGGGGAAAGGAAGAATGATCAAGCAAGAAGGCATCACCCTTGGGTCCTCTCAAGGTCCATGGTGAGGATGAAGGCTGCTCCCCTGTGAGGCTGGGAGCCTGGCAAGGAAAAGCACGCAGGTAGGGGAAGTAAAGCAAGCCCCCACCAGATGCTATAGGGCTACTCTGGGCTTAGCAGAGGACCTCTGGAGATGGCTCACACGCACCTTGATGGACAGCAGCCCTGGCTCTCCAGGCATACACAGTCCAGAGGAGGACAGACCTGGTTTTAACATCACCGGTCATGGGACGCTGATACACACAGTCATGCTGTCTATTTCTCCCCATCAGGCACAAGATGTCCACACCCATGGCACCAGATTATTGTCCAAGGCCCTGAGTCCCGGTCAAAGGGGTACAGCAACCAACATTCCCTGAGCTGAGCCCCTCTCCCCTGCACCAGCCCTTTCCCCCTGGATGCTGGCTAAGCTCCTGGGGCCACTCTCTAGGAAGCGAGGCGGACTCTCAAGTAGGAATACAAGGCAGCTTCTGACCAGAAGGATTTCCCGAATGATGCCTGGGAACTTGGACGGCGCTAGAGCAGACATGAGCACCGGAGATGGGTGACCAGCCTCATGCAAGCTCCAGTGCTGTGTCCACGACTCCAGAGGGGGTACCAGGGTGGGCAGAAGGCACGACTGTCACCCTCAAAAACATCTGAACTGGGCCCAGAGCAGTGGCTCATGCCTGTAATCCCACCATTTTGGGAGGGGGGGGCAGATCACTTGAGGTCAGGAGTTCGAGACCAGCCTGTTCAACGTGGCAAAACCCCGTCTCTACTAAAAATACAAAAATTAGCCGGGCATGGTGGCACGTGCCTGTCATCCAAGCTACTCGGGAGGCTGAGGCAGGAGAATCGCTTGATCCCAGGAGGCGGAGGTTGCAATGAGCCAAGATTGCACCACTACACTCCAGCCTGGGCAACAGAGCAACCCTCTGTCTCAATAAAATAAAATTAAATTAATTAAATTAAAATTAAAATTTTAAAAATCAGAACTACACACGCGCTCTAGGTCAAAGGTAGGACCCACCCTGCCTTGGTATACAGATGGCTTCGAGTGGTATCTATGGGGGACAAGGGCCACATTGTACCATCCTCACTCCTGGCTCCAGCCCTCCCTCTTGTTTAAGAGCTAACTGCCTGTTATGGGTCACCGTGTGTCCCCCAAAAAAGATATACTGAAGTTCTAACCCCCAGTATCTATGAATAGAACCTTATTGAAAATCGGGTCTTTACACATATAATCACGTCAAGATGAGGTCAATAGGATGGTCCTTAATTCAATAGGACCAGTGTCCTTATAAGCAGGGAAGGCTGGCCAGGCGCTGTGGCTCACACCTGTAATCCCAGCACTTTGGGAGGCCGAGGCGGGTGGATCACTTGAGGTCAGGAGTTCGAGACCAGCCTGGCCAACATGGTGAAACCCCGTCTCTACTAAAAATACAAAAATTAGTCGGGTGTGGTGGCGGGTGCCTGTAGTCCCAGCTACTCAGGAGGCTAAGGCTAGAGAATCGCTTGAACCCAGGTGGTGGAGGCTGCAGTGAGCCGAGATCGCACCACTACACTCCAGCTCGGGTGACAGAGCAAGACTCTGTCTCAAAAAAAAAAAAAAAAAAAAGAAGGGAAGGCACTAATGTGAAGAAACGCGCAGTGAGAACACCTCATGACAACGAAGGCAGACACAGGAGCAATGCGGCTGCAAACCAACGCATGCCGAGGCTTGCCAACCCTGCCAGAGGCTAGAAGAAGCGAGGAAGGATTCTTCCCTAGGGCCCGCAGAGGGAGCGTGGCCCTGCTGACACCTTGATTTTGGACTTCTGGCTTCCAGAACTGAAATAAAAAATGTGGCTTTAAGCCATCTGAGGTCCTTGGTAATGGCAGCCCTAGGAAATGAATGCAGCACCCAGGCCCCAGGTTCTAGCCTTGACCTAGAGAGCCAAAAACAATGAAGATGAAATCCTGCTCCTGCCTCACCAGCCCTGCTCTGATCAACTCTTCTCAGCCTTGTCCTTTCCCAGGACAACAACATTTCCACGTGAGCCACCCTCCCAAGGCTGGCCAGGCACAGCCCAGCCCAGCCACCAGCTGGCACTGAGATGAGAGAGTGTTAAGTGACACAGTGCTTGATGCAATTCTATCCCTTTTTCTCCCACTCAGGCAAACATATCACACATGAGGAGGTGAAAGGGATGTGATTTTATCAAGGGATAACCTTGAATGTGTTCTCATTAGATGCACAAGGTAAATCCTTAGCCAAGGTGACAACTTCCCTGTGACCCACAGGGACCCATCTCGCCACGTGTCAAGGCACTGAGATTGAAAGCTGCACCCCTCAAGCAACCCGGCCCCACAGTTGCATGCAACTCTAACGACGCGGGGTCCCAGACCCACCCAGGCACTCACAAGGACCCATGAGAGGAGGGGTTGGAGATGGGGACAGCTTGGAAAGCAGAGAAGGGAAAAAGAGGATGGAGAGAAGCCAGAGGAAGAGAAGAGGAAAATTATGTACTCAGTTCAAAGAGAAGGGTGGCAAGGGCAGGCTGGAGAGGCGGGTCAGAGAGCCTCTGCCACCTGCGGGGGTCCTGGAGGTGCTGCCCATTCTCATATGGCACTGAGGTTCCCTGCTCTGAGACACAGGGGCACACGGGG